TGAAACTGTGATGTGTATTCTATGATCTGCCTAGAGAATTACCTCAACGTTGGCCAGAGCTTAGCCTTCTTAGCCACATGGGGCTCCGGAGGTACATACAGCGGGACCCGGAACGTCTGGACGCCCTGCGGTATGAGAGTCAGCACATCCTAGAGGCAGGGGCCAGGACGCAAAGTAGGGATGGAGTGTATGGAATAAATAGTCCTATGCCTTTGGGCTTGAATCTCCCTGTCCCTGACGTGTGCTTCTCCCCCTGACTTCTAAACCTCTGAGCCTGCAAGGGCTGCCTCTGCTCCTCGGACCCTCGTGCTCTCCTCCTCGCCACCTTCGCAAACCCTGAAGCCCAGGCACAGGAGGACAGGCGGCAGGAGAAGTCTCTCAGCTCAGGCCAGAGAGGGGAGTCCTAGGCCATAGCTATTTTCAGAACTAAAATTGAAGCCCATGGTTTATTTCCTCAGCACTTAATTAGACTCCAGCACCGCACAGGGCTGCCTCCTTCCCGCCCACAAGCGAAAGCCTGACCAGTGGGTTTGGGAGCTGACGCCATGTCACAGGCAGGAGGGCTGGGGCCTGGAGTATTTTTACTTATGGGAGGCTGTGGAGAACAAAAACCACTTGGCCCCGGGCCAGTTAGACTAAGTCAGTTGGGAGAGGGAGGCTAGCAGGAAAGCTGTTATATCATCCTTCCTTCTTTGAACTGTGGTGTAAATCTGCTAGACAGGAAACGGGGATTGGGAGGGGGAGGGGGCTGCACAGCCAGGCCGGAGTGGGGGCTGGTTACTACCACCCTCGGAGCCCGGCGTAGGCAAGGCCCTGTCCTCAGGGGAGGGTAAGGGGTGCGGCAAGACTCCTGCGGGACTGGGGCACCGTGGGTGAGAGGGCACACTGAGTGTGTTAAAGCTTCCTGGGTCAGGTTGGGTATGAGGTGACTGTATATGCCTGTGGGTGATTTCCGGGCTGGCGTTAGGTCCTCCAACTGATACCACTCACATAGATATGGTTTTTAGAGCTGGAAGAAACTTTGAGACCCTTTAGTGAGGATGTCAAAGATAATAGAGGAAAAAGAAATTACTTAAAGCCACACGGCTTATGAGAACCGAAAGTGGGGAAGGGGGTGGGGGGAGAATGGCGGGTGGCGTCTTCTGACTGTAAGATGCCTGTTCTAGCTCTCCTTTTACTACTGCTGTTTCTTGGCTTTCATTCCAGAGCAAAAGTAGGCATAAAATGCAAATACGCTTAGGCAAATGACACATTAATTCAGTTCACGTTAAGAACTAAATAATTGATGTTTAATACTTTACTGAGAAGATATTTTATTGAGTGGGAGACTCCTGAGCTCCATGAAGGAGCACTTCTGACCACAAGGGTGGGAGGCATCATCTATTTTTAAATTTTTTTAATGTTGATTCATTTTGAGAGAGAGAGAGAGAACCAGCAGGGGAGGGGCAGAGGGAGAGAGAATCCCAAGCAGGCTCCACGCATCAGCACAGAGCCTGATGCAGGGCTTGATCTCACAAACTGTGGGATCATGATCTGAGCTGATACCACAAGTTGATGCTTAACCGACTGAGCCACCGAGGCCCCCTAAGGCATCATCTATTTATGATTAACCTAAGACCATGGCAGCCTCAGTGTTTCTGGAGGGGGATGCGAGGAAGATGAGACCTGTGAGGTCTCTAAAATAGAACCAGTTTCTTCCAAAGAAGTGAAAGTAGGAAACCTGGCTAATGATTTCCCATATCCATACATTTGTGCAACATTTCTCCCCAAAGGTCTGGATACCGGCTTTGGGAGAACCATCACTGTTGGAGTAAACTCCTGCTCCCGATAGAACGAAGGAACCCCCTGTTTTCCACGTTTTCCTTCCCCTTCCACAACACTCCGAGGCTGCCTCTCAAACGAGGAATCCGATGACAATAGTCTAAGACCTTCCTACACACTCCAGGACCCTAAATTAAGTTAAATAATGGCCAGAGCCAACCTTTATTTTGCTTTTGCTTTGTTTTGTTTTGGTTTGGTTTGGTTTGGCTTGGTTTTGGCCAGGCACTTCACTAACATTATCTCATATCACCTTGATTATTATAATCATCATCTCCATTTCACAATAAGGATATTGAGGCTCAGAGAGGTTAAATAATTTGCCCTAAGTCACCTAAGTGACAGAGCCACAACTTGAACCAAGAGAGATTTATTCTACAACTTCTGTGTTACCCACCTCAGACTGCTTCTATTGGTGGAAATAAAATTCTTTGGAGTGCAGAGGAAGCTAAACAGAATTTCATCCAACAGCAAGAAGGAGGCCCATATTGTTTATTACCTAGGCTCAAGGATACAAAAGGGTGAGGAGTGTCAGGCCCTGGAGGGTGTCTGGCTGAGAGCTGAAGTTAGGAGTGAGGTTACCATGTTCTGCCAAGCCAGAACATGGTGTTTGGTGTACATTTCTGGTTTTCTGGGCAAGTAACCTAAATATCCCCTTCACTTCTCCTTGGCAGGGTCTCGGGCCATTAATGCCATATCGCCACCATCCCATTCTTATATTGGTCACCCAACTCATTTCCATGGTCTAAATCTGCAATTATTTCATGGCTGTTGAATGCAAATAAAGCTGATTCTTGATACCCAAGGACAGTTGATTGTTCTCTCTTCTCCTCCCGTTGCTTCTTCCCTGCTACTTATTTTAGACATTTCATTACCTCCACCAGGGAGCACGCAAGTGGAAAGGAAGCTTGTTCATTATTAGTCTTTTGCTATAAACTAACTTTGTTAGTAGCTCCCACTGGAAAAAGACTAGTGGGGAAGTAGTTTGAGGCTTGTACATTACCTTTTTGTCAGTACAGTCCCTCTCATCTCACAGCCTAGATAACATCTAAACTTTTTTCTTAGTTGGGTGCTGGCTGTGTTTGTTGAATTGTTGTGTTGTGTTTGTTGAATTATGTGCCAGTTTTTACCCAGGCCTACCCTTGGTCAAATTCTATGACTGATAAATATGGACAGCACTGGACTTTCACTGTATCCCATTAAATGAATTCATACATGTGACATACTAGGACATTTCCTGGCCCAAAGTAAACACCCAATAATTGTTAGTTATTATTTTTATTCTAAGATGTGCCTGAAAAAATAATATTCAAAATCCAAGGCATCACTTTTTTTCTTATCCTGAGATTTTTCATTACAGCAGCCAGGACTAAAGCAAAGTTCCTCAAGGATGGGAAGCAAGGATGATAAAATGAAGCAGTACTAGTTATAAACCCATTAGGGGAAGGCTTCTGCTTCCAGTTATTATGGACTTGTATCAGATCAATGCTCCATATGAGAACAACTAGAAAAACCTAGATTTTGTTTTTAAATGTTTATTCATTTTTGAGAGAGAGAGAGCACAAACTGGGGAGGGGCAGAGAGAGGAGGACAGAGGATCTGAAGTGGGCGCTGCACTGATAGAAGAGGCCCTGACGCAAGGCTCGAACTCACAAACTGGGAGATCATGACCTGAGCTGAAGTTGGACGCTTAACCAACTGAGCCCCTGAGGCACACCTAGATTTTATTAAAAGTTAGAAACAACCATTTGAAAGCATTGGAGAGATACTAAGACATTGTCTAAGGTGTTAGCAAAAAAAGGAAATACAGAGAGGTGAGCAGCTCAGCTACTTTCTTCCAAGAGACATTTGATGATTCTGAAGTTCAGTACAGAGAAGCTGAGCAGCTGAACAGGACTGTTGGCAGTCTTACAGGGGTAAGGAGACAAAATTGGGATTCAGAGCTTTCTAAAAGGAGGGAGCCTGGTAAACAGCCCAGTCTTCAGCTGGAAACCTTGAGGGACGACACCCTGGTAATAAAGCTAGCCTGAAAATAGACGAGCACTCACAGAGACTGAAACTCGGGCCCGAATCGAACCAATCTCAGATTAGAGTAAGATGTTCTACTCCTGGATAACCGCCTGCCAGAAGCAAAGTAAATCCTCTTTGGAGGAATAGAATATCATCCAGACTCTCAAATTATCGCTACATTTTTCGTGCAGTGTCTGGCATTAAACAAATAGATAATAGTGATAACAGCAAAGCCAGGCATATCAAGAGGTAGGAACAAATGACTGAAAACCAAGAGGAAAAAAATGTTGTAATTTAAACAGCTATGTTGAATATATTTTAAAAACAATCTAATGAAAATGCTAGGACTGAAATTACGAACTCAGAGGAAGAGTTTCAGAGCAGATTAGGCTCCACTGAGGAGATGATTCATGAACTTGAATATAGACTAGGAGAAACTATGTGGACTTCACTACAATTACAGCAAGATCAAATTTTTAAGAAATACAAAAAAGATAGACTAGGAGATACATGGCATTCAGTGTAAACATTTGTGTAATTAGAGTCCTAGAAGAAAAAGAGAGAAATAATGTAGGATGCACAATGTTTTGAAGAGAAAATAGTCTAAGGATTTAAAAACTGATAAAAGACATAGAGGTACAGATGAATACAAAGAAAGGTGCAAGTAGATTCGTTGTAAAACAGGTGAAAAACCACAAAAGACAAAAAAAAAAACCCTGTAAATGCAGTTAGGAGAAAAAAATATGCAGGGGCACAATAAATAAGACAGCCGAATTTAAAAAAAAAAAAAAAAAGGAGGGGCATCTGGGTGGCTCAGTCAGTTAAGTGTCCGACTTCAGCTCAGGTCATGATCTCGCGGTTTGTGGGTTTGAGCCCCGCGTTGGGCTCTGCTGGCAGCCAGTTCAGAGCCTGGAAACTGTTTCAGATTCTGTGCTTCCCTCTCTCTCTGACTCTCCCCTGCTCATGCTGTCTCTTTCTCTCTCTCAGAAATAAATTTAGAAAATGTTTTAATTAAAAAAAAGGAAGCCCCAAAATAATGAAATGATATCTTTAAAAGGCCAAAAGAAGGGATGTGGCTGGCGCTTGAGGAGCACAGGGCCAGTGACAGTGCAGACCTGGGACATGAAGCAGCCCAGAGGCGGTGAAATAGCCCTGAAAGCCTGCAATAAAAAATGGCCTCCAATAAAACTGCATTGCAGACAGTGGGAAAGAAACAGAAAGGACAGAGTAAAAAAGTAGAAGAGGCAGAGCCTGAGGAATTCATGGTGGAGAAAGTAGTGAATGAGGAGATGAAGCATTTCCTGAAGTGGAAGGGATTTACAGCTGTTGACGATACTTGGGAGCCTGAAGAAAATTCAGATGGCCCAGAGTTAATTGAAGCACATCCTAATTCTCAAAAAGCTGGTAAAGAATAAGACGGTACAATAAGAGGCTCTTTAGCCAACAGTGAATCTGATGATGGCAAATCCAAGAAGAAAAGAGATGCTGCTGATACACCAACAGTCTTTGCCAGAGGTCTTGATCCTGAACAAATAATTGGTGCTGTAGACAGCAGTAGAGAATTCACATTTCTCATGAAATCCAAAGGTTCAGAAGAGGCAGACTTGGTGTTGGCAAAGGAGGCAAATATGAAGTGTCTTCAAATTATAATTGTTTTTTCTTTCTTTCTTTTTTTTTCTATCTTTTGAGACAGAGAGAGAGAATGAGCAGGGGAAGAGCAGAGAGAGAGAGAATCCCAAGTAGGCTTCACGCTATCAGTGGAAAGCCCGAGGTGGGGCTTGATCTTACGAACCATGAGCTCATGACCCAAGTCAAAGTCGAGTCGATCCATAACAGACTGAGCCACCCAGGCACCCCAAATTGTAATTCTTTTTTATGAGAGAGACTAACTTGCATTCTTGTCCAGCAGATGAAGCTCAATGATACATCAGTTGGGGAAGCTGTTAGGGATTTTTTGTGTCTATAGCACCAGTTACTTTGAACGAATAAAAGCTTTCTGTAGTTGCTTTCTTTATCAGAAAAGAATATTTGAGACCATGGTATATTATTTCCCTGCATTAGAGAGCATCTTTTCTTAATGTTGGGGGAAATCTTCATGGTTGGTACTCAACCAGAATTTGTATTTAACTCCTACATGCCTAAGGATCATTCTGAGCTTTTTGTTTATTTATGCTTTCTTTGTGTATGTGAGTGTATATATAAAAATACATGTGTAAATGATTTTCTTTTTTTAAGAAAACATTCACCGAAACAAAAACAGTATTTCATAACCATGGATAAGCCCATGTTTCTGGGATGCCATCATTTTCAACAACCTAAGAAGTAAATCACTTAAAGTAAATTTAAATTTTTCTTGAAGACTTAACCTTTCAAATTTCATAATTAATTGGATAATTTAAATATAAATATAAATTTAATTTAAATTAAATTGGACAATTTAAAAGTAGCCATAGCAGAATCCATATCTATGCCTACAGTCATATAAATGCAAGTTTTTCTTTAATTTTTAAAAAATGTTTATTTATTTTTGAGACAGAGGGAGAGGCCAGAGCACAAGCTGGGAGGAGTAAGAAGAGAGAGAGATAGGGAATCTGAAGCAGGCTCCAGGCTCTGAGCTGTCAGCATAGAGCCTGCTGTGAGACTCAAACTCATGAACCATGAGACCATGACCTGAGCCGAAGTTGGATGCTTAACTGAGTGAACCAGTCAGGCATCCTTAAATGCAAGTTTATTTGCAAGATGCCTGAAAGAAAAATTTTAGCACTGCCAACAATCTCCTCAACCACATGAGAAAACTAGACAAGTCCTGATGTGTTTATTTTTTTTTTAATATTTTTTATTTATTTCTAGGAGAGAGAGAGAGACAGCGTGAGCAGGGGAGGGTCAGAGAGAGAGGGAGTCACAGACTGAAACAGGCTCCAGGCTCTGAGCCGGCAGTCAGCACAGAGCCGGACGCGGGGCTCGAACCCACGAACCACGAGATCATGACCTAAGCGAAAGTCGGAAGCTTAACCGACTAAGCCACCCAGGCGCCCCAAGTCCTGATGTGTTTAAATTGAGTAAGCAAAACTTAGATAAATGGACATTTAAAGTTTCCTTCTAATGCATCATTCCTTTTCAAGAGGTTGAAATCAGTGATATTGACTAAAAGGTCACAATTTATGGAATGTCTAAGACTTTGATCATGGAAACCTAATCATAATCAGATGGTTAGAGATGTTGACAGTTTAGCACCTGCTGGAATAAATGGGGAGGGGGGGGGGACAAACTTCTGTAATCTAAATCCTCACGTTTTCAGAAAATAAACTCCTAAATAATCTGTGGGTCAAAGAAAAATGAGAAAAAAACATTTTAACTAAATGATAATAAAAATATATCAAAACAGGTGGGATTCGGTTAAAGCTGTGCTTTGGTAGAGAGATGGTGATTTGTAGCTTTAATTGCAAATGGTAAAGAAAAGCTAAAAATCAGTTATTTAAGAATCTATCTCAAGAAATGGAGGGGACTCAGCAAATTAAACCCAAGAAAGTAGAAACATACTAAAGATAAAAGCAGAAAATTAATGAAATAGTAAACAAATGTACAATGAGAGAATCAACAAACTCAAAAGTTGGTTATACAAAAAGATCAATAAGATTGATAAACCTCTACCAAGAATAATTGAGAAAAAAGTGAGAAACAAAGTATCAATATCAAGAATGACAATGAGCACCTCACCACAGATCATACATTTAAAAGAGAATCCAGGGAGAGCGGCACATGGCTGACTCAGCTGGTGGAGCATGCCGACTCTTGCTCTCAGGAGTCCTGAGTTTGAGCCCCATGTTGTGCATGGAACCCACCAGAAAAAAAGAATATGAAGATATTGTGAATACTTTTCTGCCAATAAATTTGAAAATAGGAAATAAATTCTTCAAAAAGGAAGGGGCACCTGGGTGGCTCAGTCAGTTAAACATCCAACTTCAGCTCAGTCATAATCTCACGGTTCATGAGTTCCAGCCTTGCATCTGGCTCTGTGCTGGCCGCTCACAGCCTGGAGCCTGCTTCAGATTCTGTGTCTCCCTCTCTCTCTGCCCCTCCCCGACTCACACACTGTCTCTCTCTGTCTCTCAACAATAAATAAATGTCAAAAAGGACACTGTAGTAAACCTGAAACAAGGGAAAATAGAAATCTAACTAGTTCTATATATATATCAAATCTATAATTTAAAACCTTTCCTCAAGGAAAACTCCAGGCCCACATAAGTTCAGAAGTGCATTCTTCAAGAATTTAGGGAAGAAATAGCAACAATCTTACGTAAACCATAAACTCACCTAGAGAATAAAGAGGGAACAATTACTACCTTGTTTTATGAAGCCAACTTAACCTTAAATCCTGACAAAGATCTTCAGGAAAGGAAAATTACAGTCCAAACTTTCTTATGAGCATAGAAACAAACACTCTGTTCAAAATATTAGTCTAAAATATATGAAAAATATAACCAATTTGAGTTTATTCCGAGAACATAAGGAAGGTTTAACGTTTAAAATTCAATGAACACTGGCAGAAACCACTGTAACCATGTTATCAAGGTTACCATCACCAGGAATAAGACATATCATGCATCCCCTGGGATGCTGCACTGGGAAGAGCACATCACCTCTGCAGTATATTGCTAAAAAATGAAAGGCTTCAGGGCACCTGGGTGGCTCAGTCGGTTAAGCGTCTGACTTTGGCTCAGGTCATGATCTCACGATTTGTTAGTTCAAGCCCCACGTTGGGCTCTGTGCTGACAGCTCAGAGCCTGGAGCCTCCTTCAGATTCTGTGTCTCCCCCTCTCTCTGCCCCATCCATGCTCATGCTCTGTCTCTCTCTGTCTTTCAATAATAATAATAATAATAATAATAATAATAATAAATAATAAAGGCTTCAATCTAATGATGAGAAGACATCAGACAAACCTAAATGAAAGGATAGTCTAACAAAATACCTGACCAATTCTCTTCCTTGTCATGACAGACAAGGAAGGGCTGAGGAACTGTCAAAGATTAGGGCAGACTAATGCGACACCACAAAATGCAATCTGGCATTGTGAAATAGAAAAAGAACATTAATGGAAAAACTAATAAAATCCAATTAAGTATATCGTGTAATTAAAAGTATTGTACCAATGTTATTTAAGTTTTGACAATTGTCCTATGGTTATATAAAATGAGCATTAGGGCAGTTAAGTAAAGGATATATGAAAACTATTATTTTTGCAACTCTTCTGTAAGTCTAAAATTATTTCAAAATAAAAATACAAGATAACTCAATTAGTGTAATTAATCACATGAACAGAATAAAAAGGAAAGTCCTACGATTGTCTCAATAGATACCGAAAAAACATTTTAAAAATTCAATATTCATATATGATTAAAAATAAATTCTTAGCAAACTAGAAATATAAAGAATTTCCTGAATCCAGAAAGGGCATTTCTAAATAACCCTACAGCAAACATCATAATCCTCCTAATTTGGAAATGAGACAAAGATGTCTGTTATCACACCTGTCCAAAACTGGATGGGAGGTTCACAGCTAATGCAATAAGGCAAGAAAAGAAAGAAAACTGCTGTTATGCATCAGCATCGTGGATAATATATAGAAATATATATGAGTATGTATGTAATACATATTATTTATATAGATAGAACTATAGAAAGAAGATCCAAAAGAACCTACAAACTAAATAAATTAGCAAATGAACTTAGCCAGGCAGCTGAATGCAAGATCAGTATGAAAAATCAATTACATTCTATGTACTAAAAGTAAATCAGAAAATAAAATATTTAAATGATAATACAGCTTTATCATAACATAAAAGGGGCACCTGAGTGGCTCAGTCGGTTGCGCATCCGACTTCAGTTCAGGTCATGATCTCATGGTCTGTGGGTTTGAGCCCAGCATCGGGCTCTGTACTGACAGCTCAGAGCCTGGAGTCTGCTTTGGATTCTGTGTCTCCCTCTCCCTCTGCCCCTCCCCTGCTTGTGTTCTGTCTCTCTCACTCTAAAAAATAAGGAAACATAAAAAAATATTTTAAAAAACAACATAACAAACATTAAACACCTAAAAATCAGTGGAAGATGTACAACCACCTTCGTGCAAAAAGAATAACATGTCATTGAACTAGGTTAAAGAAGACCCAAATAAATATTCAAGGACTAGGGGACTACGTATTAGAAACACGCTCTCTATAAATATTTATAGATTCAGTGTAGTCCCAGTCAAATTCCCAGAAACTGATAAACTGATTTTAAAATGTATACGACAGTGCAGAAGGCCAGGAAGGGCCAAGATAATATTGAATGACGAAGTTGGACAACTTGTACCAGTGGTTATCTGGTTTTATTTAACAGCTACAGTGATTGAGACTGTATGTGTGGTATGGTGCGAAAACAGATGTTTAAGATAAACATGGTGATGCAGACCAGGAGGGGAAGGCAGCCTTTGCAAAATCATACTGGATCATATGGGAATCTATATGGATTCATATGAGGACCTCACACCATTCACAAAAACCATTCACAAACACTTCACACCATTCACAAAAACCAACTCTAGATGGACTGTAGGTTTTAATGTCAATAGGTAAAATCATATAGCAACTAGAGGAAACATAGCGTATCTTCATTATTTGGGGTAGGCAGCCAAATATTTCTTTAAAGAGACACAAAAGCACTAACCTTAAAGCAAAAGACTGATAATTTAGACTACTCTAAAACTTAAAACTTTTTAAAATCAAAGGACATCATTAAAGGGGCACCTGGGTGGCTCAGTCAGTTAAGCGTCTGACTCTTGATTTCAGCTCAGGTCATGGTCTTGTGGTTTGTGGGTTTGAGCCTGCATCGGGCTCCGTGCCGGCAGTGTGGAGCCTGCTTGAGATTCTCTCTCTCTTCTCTCTCTCTCTCTGCCTCTCCCTCTCTTGCAACTCACTCCCTCTCTCTCAAAATAAATAAACTTCAAAAAAAGACATCATTAAAGGGGTATATGATTCTATTTACTTAAAGTTCAAAAAAGGCAAAATGAATCTATAGTGTTATGATCTGAGGTAGGCTAAATAGTGGCCCCCCAAATATATCTATGTCCTAATCCCCTGAACCCTAGTATATATTACTGTATATGGTAAAAGAGAGTTTGTAGATATGATTAAATTAAAGGTTTCGGGATGGGGAGATTTACCTTGATTATCCAAGTAGACGTAATCTCATTATAAGGATCCTAATAAGAGGAAATTCTGGCTTTGAAAATGTATGAAGGGGGCCATAAGTCAGGCAATGTAGAGGTGGCCTCCAGAAGCTGGAAAAGACAAGGATGTATTCTCCAGAGAGCCTCTAGAAGGAATCAGCCCTGCCAACATCTTGACTTTAACTCAGTGAGACTGATTTGGGATTTCTGTTCTCCAGAACTATAAGAGAATATTGTTCCAAGCCACTAAGTTTGTGTTAATTTGTTACAGCAGTAATAGGAAACTAATACATGGTCAGAACCCTGGTTACCCGTAGGAAGGAGGGAAGGGGTCCCAGGTATGGGGAGATGGTAATGTTCTATTTCCTACTGTGGGTGGTGGTTATATGAGCATAGTTATTTTGCGAAATATATGGTTTGCGTACCTTTCCAAATATATAATTCAATAAAAATTTATATATAAAAAAAAGCAAAAATTTCTTATTGGGGAATATATTCTATGTTCTCCCACTACAGCCAGCACAGACCTTTGCCAAGAAGAAGAGTTCAGAGAATTTTGTCTGTTGAAAGAATAGCAGAGCAGAAGAGTAATTCCCAGATGTTACATAAGGACATCAGGAATAGAAGCATATATTTAATTTTATGAAAAGAGGAGGCCTGTGCCCATGTTAGAAGGTAGTCTTGGCTTGTCTTATCTCTAAGGATAATCCTCCCTCTTTGAGAAATCTATTTCTTCCAGCAGCCTACTTTTCAATCAAAGTATAAAAGATTAATAAAAGGTTTTATAGCAGGAAGGATGAACTTATTGACCTCATTATCTCAAGTGGTGATACAAGATTAAGGTAATAAATAGGTTTTTGTAAGTTTTAGATAAATTTGTGGGTGTTAGATCCATAATTGACTATTAAAGAGAAGCCAGGATGCTTGGGGTATGGCTCTGGCCTTTAAACTTGACCTCATGAAGACAATCATGTGCTTCCACTGACAACGAACCTTAGGTCTGACTCAGTGTTAGCCATTCTTAGGTTATTAAGAGGAAGCAGGCCAGCAGCCTGGTCAGAGGCATAGGCTTTGCAGCTACCAGATGAAGTCTCGGAGGATCCAAGCATCAGCCTCACAACTATTAAATTAATAATATTGTTAAGGAACGTGTCTTCGTGTGGGAGCAGCCAAGGTCATAAAACTGAACATGATGTTGGGCTTGGTGACCTGGTTGTCCCATCTGTAATCCCAGGTCTTACCCTGACCAGCTGTGAGACGCTGGGCATTGGCATGCCATTTAACATTGCTGAACCTCATCTGTGAGTGGGGATCCTAAGATCACCCCAAGAGGGTTACCTTGGGAGTTGAGTAAGAAGTGATGAAAGCATTTAGTCAAGTGTGATGCACTATTCAAATGTGAGGTATCACTATTAGTTTTATTCACAAAGGAAAAAGTAGATAGTGCTCTGGTTACCATACTTTACTGTCAGAAAGATTTTTCTAGTGCAGTAAGACGCCCTGTGATAGAAGGATTCTGTGGTCAAAAAAGTTCAGGAATGTCTGAATTAAGGTACCTCTGCATTTAGAGATTCCCAGTGTTCATTAGTCCCTTTTAATCCCCTCCAGAAATACAAATACTCATTAGCCTTTTAAAGTCCCCTTGTCCCCCAAGAGGTCCTGCAGGAAAGAAACTGGTTTAAGTATGTTTAACCCAGTGTTTCTCAAACATATTTGACCAACAAAGCCACATGTCAGTACACATTCATACTTCATACACATACTTCATACACATTCAGTCACTCTGCCTATGTGACCTCATTGATACCTATGTCCTCAATAACCCTCATACACCAGTATCTTCCAAACTGGTATTACTATTCCAGGCCTCTCCCCTGAGGTTCAGATCTATTCACCCTGTGGCTTCCACCTGGCAGTCTCAAGGGTGCTTCCAACTTAATCTGTCCAAAATGTCTAAAATCAGTACCTTCTATCCCATACCTGGATCTTTTCGAGGGTTCCCTAACTTGGTGAAAGGCCCCAGCATCCACCTAATTCCCCAGGCAGAAACCTCACACCTCTCTTCCTATCATCCTTTATAAAGCCCTCACGTTCAGCCTATCGCAAATTCCTACCAAATTTACATCTAAATATGCCTTGAACCTATCCCATTCCATGCAGCCCCGTTCCCTCACCCTGGTCGCCCCCTCCCCCAGGGTATCACTCGGAGAGCTCTCTACCTGGTCCCTCTGCTTGCTCTTCTGCTCTCTCAATTCCATCTTCCAGGAACACGTAGGTTACATTTTTAGAATCCAAGTCTAATTCCTACCTTAAACCCTGTTATTATTTCTCCTTGCTCTTCTGTTCTCTGTGCCCTAGTCACCAGGTTTCTTCTATTTTCTCAGATGTCCCACAGCAGTGCCTTCGCTTATGTCCCTTCCAATGTCTGGAGTGCTCCCACCCTGCGCAGCTCCACTCCCTTCACTGAAATAACCTTTGCTCAACCTACAGATCTTCCCTTGAATCCCACTTCCTCAGGGAAGCTGTCCTGACACACACCTAATCACCCCTGCTGCCATGGGCCTTGCCCTCATGCAGCTGTTCAACTGACAATTACACATTAGTCTTCATATTATTGAAATTAATGCCTCTTCTCCCCCACTAGACTACAAGCTTTATGAGGGTAGGGCCTTGCCTATTTGACTCCATATTATCTATCTAGCAGGAAGTTTCACAAATATTTTTTGTTGTAGGAAAAAAATCTCTTCTCAATACATCTCACACTTGTAATTTCTGCTGTCCTGCCTCACTGGGCTCCGGCTTCCTCAGAAAATAAAAATTCAACTGGTAAGCCCTCCCTTCTTTTTTCGTCAGTGATCTCCAAAGAACCTCTTTTCCACGAGCTCTGTTTCCAAACCGGCATCATGGCTGGGGCACAGCAGGCATCCCAGGAGGCCCTCTTCATAGAGATTGTGGTGTGCATGGTGCCCCCTGGGCCGGGCAGGGCCGTGGGAGCCAAGACTGCTCAGCCTTGTCTTTAATCAGAAGGTCATTATTTCTGTTTGATTTAAGTCTGACCCAGAGCTTGGGGCTCCCATTCCCTTCCCGAAACCCCACCCCCACTGCACACGTGCGGAAACACACTCAAGCTTTGCGTGGGTCCTCTGGGGTAATTGGGGTGTTTGCTTTTTTTTCTTGCTTGCTCTGGTTTGATCCTCAGGTCAGCCCCTCTCTTTCCCAACTTCAGGCCTTCGCACAGGCTGTTTCTTTCTGGGCGGGCCACCCCACCCAACACCCAACCTCCTTTCTTGCTATGGTTGAACTCCCACTCATCCTTCAGGCCTCAACTTCCATGGCGATTCTTCAGGGTGGTCCTTGCTGACAAATCACTTTTAGTTCACCCCGCTATTCCCTGGCGTGGCATTCCACATTTTCCCTTCAAGATGCTCGTCCCAATTTGTACTTCCATATTTATTCATTTAGCAGTTATCTCCCTCCAAAGCATCATCAACTCCTGTAAGGGCAGGCCCAGTGTCTATTTTTTCACCAACCCCGTGCTCAGCCCAATGCCTGTTTACAGAGCAAGCCTTCCCTAACGGTGTACTGAAAGAAAGACACAGCGAATTAACCAATGAATGTGGTTGCTCTCAAAACAGCTTTTGACCCTTGGAAATCTGCCTGGCTTGAAAACAACTCCAAGCCCAAGCAAAACTTTAAGGAAGTGTAATTTGAAAAAACAAATTGTGTCTTGAACTTGTCAATGCCAATTTTCTATTTTGATCTGTTTTTCTCACCTCTTGGGTTCAGAGTGACCTTGCCAGTCTGTAATCACTGGGGTCACGTACTTCCCTTCTGCCTTTTACTAATAGGCCGCCTGGGGGCTTACTGGCCTGGGGTGTAAAAAGTCCACAGGTGGCTTCTCTCTATAGCCAAAGGGGATGTTCTGGAGGGCAGGACTGGGTATCCCCCTTTCCTTGCACCCTGGCCTTCAGAGGTGAGGCTGGGTACGTGTGTCTTCTGTTCTGTAGAAACAGACTTGTGCTCTCTTGGTTCTCTGACTGGGGCCTGAATTCATTCTTACTGTGAGAGCAAAGTGACTCCAAAAGCATTTCTGTAGAAAAGCTGGTAGCAGAAAATGCCAGGGCCCCACCCACACTCACTCCCTCTGATCCTTCTTACCATTTCTTGTGTGCCCAGTCCTTGGCATGCTTTTGCCTGCGAGCCAGCCCTGTGGCTCTTTCTGGCATGGTCCTCAGGGCTCTGGAGCTGCCTTAGCTGCGTGGAGGGAGAGCCCAGAGCACACTTATAGCCCGTGGAGTCAGGCTGAGACCACCCTCTGGGAGCCTTGGCCTGCATTCCTCCCCTGTCCTGCTTGCACCTGCTGCTCCCTGCCCGTATCCTTGTACCAGGTGCACGTAGATCCACACCTGAGGCCTGCCTCGGGCCACCTGACCTAAGACGGTTGGTGTGAGGAGTGGAGATGGGAAGCAAAAGCACACTGAAGTCAGAAGTGAACAAAAATCACAAAAAGGAATCTAAGAGGACCTGGCGGAGTATAGACGTTGCCCGCTAGGGTCCCACATTCAGATTCAGAGTCTTCGTGATGGAGATTGACCACAGTTTATGGGAAAACTTACAAGAGGAGGGTTAGTCAGACAATATACAGTCCTCACCTGCTGCAGCTGGTTTGGAGAAGAAATTGATCTTCACATAACCCCCCTCTACCCCTCACCTTTGGCTGGGTGGCACTGGTACTGGTTGTTCCCGGCAGGGTGACCCCCCCCCCCCGCCTTCATCCTTGAGGAGCCTGGCGGTGCTTGCTAGAACTGTCAGGTCACAGGCTACACCGGGCATGGAGTAACCTGGAGCGGCCCAGAGCTCTACACCTACTCCTGCCTGACCCGTGGTAGCCTCCTCTTAATCATTCCTGCCAAGATGGCAGCTCCTTTCTTTGCCCAATGGTTTCCCAGTAGGAGAGGCCCCCAAATGACCAAGTGGTTGCATAGGTTTTGGTTTAGCGGAGCTCTTTTCATGTTTCTTGCTGGAAGTGTGGTCTCCCTTCTGGAAGTCAGGGTATCTGGATGCACAGATCTGGGGGAGTTGTGGCCAATGGGAAACACAACTTCTCCCAAGTAGATTAGCAGGAATGATGGTGAACAGAGCCATGCCTCCTTACTTGTCTGTGCCTCAGGCTCCCTTTCCCTCAGGGGAGGACAAATCACATGCTCCAGGCCCCCCTACGGGATCAGTCTAAAGTTGGCCTCTGTGGGACTGTTGTGTGGCCTTCTTATTTCCCCTGTTCTGATGCCCCTACTCCCTTAAGGTTACTTCTGGGAGCACTGACTTGATGAATTATTTGCACTCAAAGTCTGCCTTCTGGGGAAACCAACCTAAGACAGATCTGAAGGTCTGACGAGTGGGGTGGACAAAGCACCCCCATTTTGAAAAGACGAAGTGGACTGAAGTCGGAGTGAAAGGAAGGAAGTTTGAGCTACTGGGGAGAGCCCCAAACTGGAAGGTGGGGGTCATACGACTATTGTCACCTCACTGAAAACCCCAAAAGTGGGCCTCAGCCTTATCCAATGTCTGACAGGGATAATGTTTAACTTTGAACAATACAGAAAAATTATTCTCATAAAGTACTCATGGCGCTTTGATTTCAATGTCATGAATTTTAAGCATTTAATCATTTGCAGATAATAATATGTAATAAGTACAGTGAACCCTTGAACAATGCAGGGGTTAAGGACATCCCCCCCTAACCCTCTGTGTCCTTCATGGTAGAAAATTCCTGTATAACTTTTGACTCCCCTAAACTTAACTACTAATAGCCTACTGTTGACTGGAAGCTTTACCAATAACATAAATCATCGATTGATACATATTTTGTATATTGTATGTATTGTCTGTGTTCTTACAATAGAGTATGCAAAAGAAAAGGAAATGTTATTAAGAAAATTGTAAAGAAGAGAAAATATATTTATATATACAGTATATACTATACTGTACTTATTTTTTAAAAATCCACATATACATGGATCTGTCCAGTTCAAACCCATGTTGCTCAAGGATCAACGGTAACATAACACTAGCTAACACTTTCGGTGCATTTCTCTGGCCATGCGCTGTGCTACATACTCCACAAGAGCCCCTCCTGTGATCCTTACATCCAGCCCATGCAGAAGGTATGATTATTGTTTATTAGTCCCATTTTACAGATGTGGATACTGAGGGAGGGTATTTTGCCTGCAGGAGCTGAAGAGCTAGGGTTACATCCAGGCCTATGCTCCGAACTCCCTACTATACCATAAGCAGAGAGACACAGAAGTGTTCCATCTCTTCCCCAGTCTATCTGGGGGATGCAGGGTTTTTGCCATTCTGGTTTTTAAGTTTGCACACACAGAATACATAGTTTATTTGTACTGACAAGAAAATGCTACTTGGCTGGGCCTTCCAAGGAAGCCATGGGCAGACCCAGAAGATTCCAATCCAGTGCAAGAATTTGGCCGATAATAGTATCACCTGATATTACTCATGGCTTCCTTTGGTACTTTCATACGGAAATCCTGTCTTTCCTTGGTTCTTGGGTCGACAGGTGGGCCCCACATGAGGGGCACTGCAGGGGTGTCAACGGCTTCCCTGTCCATTCGAATTTGCCCAATCTCTTCCAGAGTCCCAGAGTCACCATTAAAACACACCTACGCTTAGAGTTCTTTTCTTCAAAGAAGATTAAATTTTGGCTCCTGAGAAGTAGTTTGTCAGGAATCTTGATCACCAAGTGAATTTAAATTTGGTTTGGCAATTTGTGAGTCTGGGTTCCCACTCACCCTGGTCTGCTTTCCCAGACAAGACACATATGGAATGAACATCCTTCTTAAAATTTTTTAAAAGTTTTTTTAATGTGTTTATTTATTTTGAGAGAGAGATAGAGAGCGAGCAGTGGAAGGTCAGAGAGAGAGGGAGACACAGAATCTGAAGCAGGCTCCAGGCTCTGAGCTGTCAGCACAGAGCCCGATGTGGGGCTTGAACTCATGAACCATGAGATAATGACCTGAACCAAAGTCAGATGCTCAACCGACTGAGCCACCCAGGTGCCCCTGGAATGAACATCCTTGTTAGACTAACAGCCTTGGAGGTGAGGCTTGTATGTTATTCACTTCCTGGGATGGAGCCTGCCACATAGTGGGCTCTTTATAAATGGTGTTGACTTAACCAACAGACTGATACATGACGAAAGAGATCCAGGATAGCTCAGGGTTAAAAGCTCAGATTCTGGAACCATAAGCCTGGACCCAAATCCAGAGACCTGTGTGACTACAGGCAGGTGACTTAACCTCTCAGTAGCTTGCTTTTCCTATCTGTACAATGGGTGTGCCATCCCTCAAGACGGACTTGAGGATTAAATGAGTTAGTATGAAGTGAGTTAGTAAAGTATGCAGAACAGTGCCAGGCAAGCAGTAAGTATTATTTCATTGAATTTCTTGGGCCTGTGACAACGGAATGTAGCACTGGGGTTGGCATACCCTCCTCATAACTGTTGTCCTCTCCTTATACCTCGCTAGAGGAAACAAACCTAAACAGAAGCTAAAGTTTGTTGGGTCTGTAATTAGCTTGAAACTCCTCATTCTCTTTCTCCACTAAAGTGTCTTTGAATCCGGAGGTGGGGTTGGTGAGCTGCTAGATCTCACTGTTTGCTCAAAAAAGTGCTGAGATCCTTAAAAATCTCCCTTGAGAGGATGGAAGAGAGATACATTCTGTTTTTCCTGAAGCAAAGCTGACAGTTTATCACTGCCTGCCAGAATCTTCTGCTAAGCCATCACTTCTCAAACTTTGTAAACCCTCTCCCCACCAGAAAAACAGGGTCCAGAGAGAAAGAGTTGACAGGGTTGGGTTGGTGGCCAGAAGCCAGGCGCATGATGCCTCAGTGAGGAGGGAGGGACAGCTGTGGCTGCCATGCAGAAGAGTCTACAAGCTGCTGAAGATAGGAACGAGCAGTCTGCTAATGGCCACCATGGTGGGCCATTTGAGCTCAGAGGGACTG